TAAAGATACATCCTAGAAAAATCAATGCTGGAGACAAAGTTCTAGGTTGTGAAAGAAAACAAAGCACTGGGAGATACATTCTTCTGCCCCAAATTCTAAAAACAGACTTTTAACAACCACCTAAATAAGCATGGATGAGTTTATAAATAACAAGGGGAACTCAATCTTATAAACAGTCAAGAACTACCCCCAGACAGAACTCAGCTCTCCTAAAGTTTTATTTGGCTAATACAGTTATTCAGTGTGTTCTGTTAAAACACACTTCCCTCTGGCAAGGCAACAGTTAGTTAGTTTACTTCCATTCTTCCTATCTTCGCTCTTCCCTCCTTCCTCAACATGCATTAACAGGGCTGGCCCCGATGGCACTTGAGTTTGAGTCTGCTGCAACCTGGCAAGTCACCCTGAATTAACCGTATCAGATATGAAGTTCATCTTCAAGGTCACTATTATGAACTATGTGATTTCAACAGTCCCTCCAGAACTGTCGCTCTCCCATGGCTACACACACACACACACACCTTTATCGAAAGACATTGCCTTTTATAACATAAATGGAAATACCTGAAAAAAAATAAGCACAGCCTTAGAAAACTATGGCTACAGGTACATATGTTCTTCGTGGAAAGTACAGGTGGACTAGAAGCCAAGGTTTAGACTCTAGGCTTTGTTTTCACAATATCTAACAGGACAACCTTGAGCTAGTATTTTTGTTTCTCTGGGGTCCATTTTCTTTCCTTTCTAAGTTATGGGTAGATCTCAATTAAACTCTAAATCTCTCCAATACCCTCTACACAAACATTTATACTAAAATAAACATCAATAAGTACAGATTCTTTCTGCTCTGGATGAGGTATAGAAAAGCAGGATAGTGTACTACAGAAATAGGCTGACCTGATAATGAATTGGGAAACAAAATAAGAGAAGAGCCAACCACCAGAGAAGACAGTCTGAGGACAATGAAAACAATCTTCACAGCTTTACCTATGCTTGCCTTTCACTCAGCATATGAAAGCATAAACCATAGAAACTATGCTGTTATCTGATACAATGTAATTAAGATATTCTTATCACACACTGTATTTGCTTTACATGATTTTTAGACTTGTTCTTAAATATGGCCAGCTCTGCTACAATGGAGTTTTGTTCTCAGCTTATATATTAATTTGAATATCACTTAACTGTCCAGAGACTTCTAACCTTATTTGTTTCTTAGAGAAGATTTCAGCCAGTATGAATGGTAAAAGCAAAACGAAAAAGTTCACAAGAACAATAGCAATAAGCAGCCCGCAAAATGTTAGACCCAAAGATGGACTCAGGGAGGGTATCCTTAATTCCTAAAATGCTTTTAAAAAACACACACACAAAAAAAAAAAAAACATAGTAATTTATGACCATTTGTAAGCAACGGTCAAGGGCATGAACTTTATCTTGTGAACAGTGAAAAACTATGAGGCATTTTTAAAACAGTCCAAGTGATTTAATCAAATCTGTGTTTTTGAAAGATAACTCTAATGGCAGACTACATACAATACTCACAAAACAGAGAATAAGTTGTTACATAGACTGCCACTATGATAAAAATATTAACATGATTTTAGAATAAAAGCTTTATAATTAAAGCCAAGAAATGAATTTCAAAGATACTACCTATTAGTAAAGAAATTCAGAGTAGGTATGCCTTGCAAAATCTTTAGGGGAGTAAATAATCACTTACACTTTAAAATCTCTTTTTTTTTTTAATTGTCACACTATATATGTACACTTTCCTCAAATAAAATTAATACTTTAAATAATGCTTATGAGCATTAAGGCCACAAAATTTTTAAATATTCACCTAACCATTTAGAAAAACACTTGGCATTTTACGTATAGAAAAATGTATCACACTCCAACTTACACCTTTTGAAAGTTCACATTTATCTAATCACACCGCAAAACGTTGTTGTTGAAAACCTGAAAATTACACTGCAGAAGTCACAATTAAACTGGCATAGAAATGTAGCTAGTCTGATTTTAGCCAAAAGTTTTATGCAGGCAACTGATTTGTTTTTTAACTTCCTCTTAGTTCCAGCTGACTCCTAGCAGACAAACTACAAATTTAAGTGCTTCTATTAACCTATAGAAGAATACAGTCAATAATAACCAGATATAAACATTAAACCTCTGAATACTTTTTAAAAAAAGAACCTTACTTAGGAACTGACATATATAAAGTATTCAAATCAAATATTATAAATCTACTTGGCATTTCAAATGTTTTATAAACATGTGCCATTATTTTTCAAAATGGTACCTAAGATAATATCCCAAAAATTAAAAATTTGTATCTATTCCTACACAAAAAAATTTTGACATAATTATCAAGTAGTTTTTAATTATGATAAAAACATTTAGATTCCTAAAGAAATTAAAGTATAATTTTGTCAGCACAAAAATGAATTCACATATACTTTTTTTTCTCCGTCCCCCACTACCACGAATTATGCAGTCGAGTTTCCCACATTTGGGGAACTCGCAGGGGTCAGCACATCCCCAGAGTACAGTGGATAAGCCTCGCCCTGGGAAAACCGCCTTCGTGATCATGGTATCTCCCCTGCCAGGTAAGTATGATGACTTCACATATACTTTTTAAAAAAAAGTTCTCTCTATCCAAAAAATACAGAAAATGTGTTCATCTTTTCCAGTCATTACACCATGAAAACTATAGGTTAGGAATCTCAACCTTCAATATTAAAGTAAAACTTCTAGAATTACCAATTTGTGATCCCTTATGGTTTTATTTATGCCTTACTAAAAGTGAACCCAGTAAGGTTCACCAACATTTCTAAGGTTAAGAAAGGCAATCAGGACTTGACCCTCAATCCTCTGCCTATGAATTCAGGACACTTTCCCCCTATGTCAAGTCCCCCAAATTCTTATTTTTTCTTTCTTCACTTTCTGAAACAAGAAAGTGTTTCTACAACTGTCATAAACAACACTTGGAAAATTGGGAAATCTCTGTATCTTTTACTTCTGTAACAGCAGAATAAAAATTCTTATTACAATCTCTGCTAGGTTAAAAATATCCTTTTCTATAAATACCCAAATAGTGTCATTTTGTGGCTCTACACATTTAGTAACCATGTAGAAACCCCTGAACTATCAGTATATGTTAAGACTCCCAAAATGTTTCTACTCAGAGTGGAAATGTGAATAAGGGTTCCCTGCACTAAGAAAATATACCCTCTTCAGAAGCACAAATTGTATTTTCATCTACTACAAATAATAAATGAAGCTACCTGGCATAAGACTGTGCCTAGTTAAAAGTTGCTGTGATGGAAAGAGAAACATAATGGCATTTACAAGACTACAAATTTTTAAACAAGGCATGGTGGTACATGTCTGTAATCCCAGCTACTCAAGAGTCAAAAGGATTGTGATTCAAGGCCAAAAACTGCAAAGTTAGCTCAAAACCCCATCTGAAAAACAATCTAAAAAAGCAAAAAGACTGGAGGCGTGGCTCAAGTAGTAGAGTATTTGTCTAGCAAGCATTAGGGCTTGGGTTCAATCACCAGTACCCAAAAAAAAAAAAAAAAAAAAAAAAGATCAGAAATTTAAGTCCAGGAAATGTCTACAAATTTAATAAAAGTGTGCTAGAAGACTTTGCCAGGGTTAACAATGCAATCTAGTCCCATGTAGTCATGTTACTACATACCATGAAAATAGTTGGTACTACTCCACTATACAGTGAATCCTCTCAAAACAACTTTTCACCTGATGCACATTTTTCTAAGCATTGTCTATTATTACTGGTAGCAAACCTAGAAGACAAAAGGTGTAACATTTTTTGCAAGGGTTTGACCAAAAAATCACAGACAACAAGTGACCATTTCAAGAAGCAAAGTGTTGTCTCATTGGAACACTACCAGATTGGTGTTTAACATGCCATAAACAAAGGAGTAGCTTGTAAATTATTCTAAGGAACAAAAGAGGACAAGTGCCTCAGATGTAGTAAAGACAAGAAACTTTTGTTTCCAATATATTGGGTCCTAGTGTAAAAGATATAACTAATCAATAAAATCCCAAAACCCAAGGATATACACTACCATTTAAAACTTCTACACTTACTCTTTAAATTGTGCAGAACACAGCACACAGAACAGAAAAATCGAACTGAATCCTAACACTGCACTGTTTTACACCTATGACATTGGGTCATCTCTGAAAAACCTCAATTTCCTCATCTCTAAACTGAGGGTAATGTCACCTATCAAAAGGAGTCCTTGTGTGGATCTGAGACAATATAATGTAAAGTATTTTGCACTTAGTAACTGAATTAACAATAGCTATACTAATAATATCTTGGTGATGCAGACCAGGTGGATTTCCCAACTCTGTGTAGGTATAAATTCATTCCCTGATGATGAGTTAAATTCTTTAAAAGAAAAAAAAAGACTATGAAAGCCTGTGAGAAACAGAAAATTGGGCATCCTTCCAGACATTACTAAGTTGAAAGGTTAAATTGCTAAAACAGTCTCCTAATTATGCAACAAACACACAAGACCATGAGTTAACCTATTTTAAAGCACTATATTAGCCTATAAACTGCTGTCTTTTTATCTAAATGAGTCTCCCATCCCAAAGCTCATTTCTATTCTTTTAATGATAAAATCTCTGACTGGCCTTCCAATTAGCATCAATAATATTTTAACCCCACTGCTTGAAATTCATCTCTACTCTCTGCTTCTAAAGGCTGCATATCACCCTCCTAATCGCAACAAGTAAGTGAGAGCAGAAAGTTTCAGGTCCCAGTATGCAGAGCCCATGCAACTCACCTCCCGCTTCTGAGGACCTGGCCCTACTGCAGAAGGCAAGTGGAGAGAGAGGGGTGCACTTCAGGCCACCTCGTCCCTCAAGGTGTCCACTTGCAGGCGGGCCAACTCCAGATGCTCTACCGCCCTGGGCTGGGGGACCGCGGCCCTCCACCCGCGCCCGCGTCTCCCCGGAGTCCCCCTCCCTACCTGCTCCCTGGAGATGCAGGGCAGCGAGGGTCTCCGGAATACTTTGCCACTGCCACCATGGGAGGCAGCCGCGGTCTCTCCCAGCGACACGCAGCTGGACCTCCTGCGGGGTCGGATCACAGGCACTTTGTCTTCCGCGCCACTGGCCCAACAGCGGGGATGCGGCGAGGCTTCCCTGATGTGAAAGAAGTGATCCAAGCCCAGGGCCAGCAGGCAGCCGGTGGCCCCGACCAGGCAGGACAGCAGCGGCCGCAGGAAGGCGGGTAGCGCCCCGAGGCTGGCGAAGGACACCCACCAGACGCAGCTGGCGAAGGGCAGCACCACGATGCGGTGCCGGAGCGTCCCGGGGCGCGCGAATGTCAGCAGACCCACGCAGCTCAGCACCAGGACCAGCCTGCTCGCGGGCGCCGGGGCCGGGATGGGGTGCGGGGCCGCGGTCCCCCACGGCCAAGCCCAGCATGGCCACGCCAACAAGTCCCCCAGGTAACAGCAAGCGGGCAGCGCCAGCAGCCACCAGGAGCCGCCGCCCGGGCCAGGGCCGGGGCCGGGGCCGGGACCGGGACTGGACCCCCGCTGGGTCCGGGTCAGGAAGCAGGTGAGGAAGAAGAAGGCACAGGCGATGCTGAAGAGGGGACTAAGGCTGTACGAGCACACGCTCAGCAGCGTGCGCAGCCCGGCGACCCCGGACGCCCAGCTCTCGGGCCCCGCGCCCAGCAGCAGCAGCAGCAGCAGCAGCAACGCGAGGACAAAGGCGGCCAGGGCGCCCAGCGAGAGGCGCGCCCCGGCGGAGGGGGAGCCGCGCCGCGGCTGCGGGCGGGAGGGCGACGGCGGCTCCACGTTGCAGAGGCGGCAGAGGTGGAAGAAGAAGCCGCGCGGAGGGTCCTGCCGCAAGGGGCTCACACAGCTCTTCACGTAGCCATTCCGCACACTCTCGGGGGGCGAGCCGACCCCGTCCGGCGCCTGGGGGGACCTCATGGCTTTAACGTCTCGCTCGTCCCTCTTCATGGCCCGGGCCGGGGAATGAGGGGGGAGGGTGGTAACCGCGGGGCTTGAGCACGCCCCCGTGCGGACCCCTCTAGTGCCCCAGCGTTTCGAGCGTTCCCGGCACGTCAGGGCTGCGCCCGGCACCACCGCCGCCCGGGGTCTCCGCCGCGCGGACTGAGGAGCGGCGGAGTCCGCGACATGCTGCTGAAGACAGGCGCGGAAGGGACTTCTCTCCCGGCCCGCGACGGCTGCCTTCCTCCTCTTCCCTCCGGCACCTCTCGGGACTGGAGACTCGGTGTCGCCTCCCAGCTCCCGCGGGCTGCAACAGTTACCTCCCGGCCCCAGCTTGGTCCGTTGGGCGCGCGAGCGGCAGGCGGGCAGGCGGGCGCTCCTCCCCCCACCCCCCGCTGCTGCCCCTGTCGGGCGCGCGCGCCCCCGCGCGCGCGCGCCCCCGCGCGCTCCGTCCCGCCGCCACCCGCGAGCCCCGGACCCCGACCGCTGGGATGAGCGCGGTCCCCGCAGTCGGAAGACCAGCAAGGGCTGGCAGAGCTGGACTGGGTCATCTGCGGATAGAATGGGCAAGCCCGCCATCCTGGGACCCCTCCCCAAGCTCAAGTTTCCCTTTGAGGGGGCGAGGGGTAAGTGATAGCCAGGGTCTCGGGGAGAGAAGGTGTTTGTGGTCCCCAAGAGGAGCACCTAGTAGGGATAGCGAGTTAAGAGAAAGAGAGGTGGGGGCTGGGGTCAGGGTGGGCCCTGGGACAGTGCGAGCACAGCTGTGACCCAGTGAGGCCAGAATGAAGAAACCTAACTAATTACTGTGGCTGGGTCTGCCTCAACACAATGTGGAGTCTTGGGCCAGGCAGATCCTTACTCTTAGGATCTTACTCTTAGGGAGCGTGCCTGTCTGTGCACTCTGGCAGCATCCCTGTCTTCACTTAGGCAAGAAAGTAACGTGCAATCCTCGCGTTGCACCCTTGCCACACATAGGCACTGGTTCACATCCTGTATCGCCTTCCAACACAGCAACATTTGCAATCGCAAATGGTCTTTCCAAATAGGCTTAGAGAGGAGGCAGGAGAGGGAGTCCCAGCCACTGGTCCTCTCAAGCACCCCTCTCCAGTTTGGATCGGTTGGCCTTGAAATAAACCGAAAAAGATGCTGTCAGAGAAAGTCTGGTGAAACTAGCGACATTAGGAAACATGGACTTAAAGGTGGGAAGAAAAGAACTTTGCTGGACCTAAGGAACTGTTCTGGAATCTAACCAATCATAACTGCCTTAGAGAGTGAACTGTGTTTGCCTCTACTGAAACTCCCCTCAACCTCATGACAGGCCTGCATTTCTCAAAGAGCTAATTCCACATTTTTCCAGGGAGAGGAGAAACATTACTGTGTGGTAAATCCCACAAACAGGCCTATTTTTCACCAATTAATCTCTGCCCACAGCCATGACCGAAAGCAGACCATTTTCATATATGGTCATAGTTCACATACATAGTAGAAATCACTGAGAAATTAACTCAAGTTTTTAACCAAGATAAAAAATAGACCAGATTTCCCTTTCCTTTTCTGTGCAGTACATAAGAGAAAAATATTGATAGAGTTTTCTAATAGGTTACCCATAAGCATGTCCTAAAAGATAAAAACCCATTGAATCTTTTCCTCCACCAGACAATTGAAAGCAAAAAAAGAAAAAGAAAAAATACTCATTTCAGCAAAACACAGGGAACACTTTTTTTAATCCCTTCACAGGGATCTTTTTTTTTTCTTTTATTATTCATATGTGCATACAAGGCTTGGGTCACTTCTCCCCCCTGCCCCCACCCCCTCCCTTACCACCCACTCTGCCCCCTCCCTCTCCCCCCCCTCAATACCCAGCAGAAACTATTTTGCCCTTATTTCTAATTTTGTTGTAGAGAGAGTATAAGCAATAATAGGAAGGAACAAGGGTTTTTGCTGGTTGAGATAAGGATAGCTATACAGGGCATTGACTCACATTGATTTCCTGTGCGTGGGTGTTACCTTCTAGGTTAATTCTTTTTGATCTAACCTTTTCTCTAGTACCTGTTCCCCTTTTCCTATTGGCCTCAGTTGCTTTAAGGTATCTGCTTTAGTTTCTCTGCGTTAAGGGCAACAAATGCTAGCTAGTTTTTTAGGTGTCTTACCTATCCTCACCCCTCCTGTGTGCTCTCGCTTTTATCATGTGCTCATAGTCCAATCCCCTTGTTGTGTTTGCCCTTGATCTAATGTCCACATATGAGGGAGAACATACGATTTTTGGTTTTTTGAGCCAGGCTAACCTCACTCAGAATGATGTTCTCTAATTCCATCCATTTACCAGCGAATGATAACATTTCGTTCTTCTTCATGGCTGCATAAAATTCCATTGTGTATAGATACCACATTTTCTTAATCCATTCTTCAGTGCTGGGGCATCTTGGCTGTTTCCATAACTTGGCTATTGTGAATAGTGCCGCAATAAACATGGATGTGCAGGTGCCTCTGGAGTAACAGTCTTTTGGGTATATCCCCAAGAGTGGTATTGCTGGATCAAATGGTAGATCGATGTCCAGCTTTTTAAGTAGCCTCCAAATTTTTTTCCAGAGTGGTTGTACTAGTCTACATTCCACCAACAGTGTAAGAGGTTCCTTTTTCCCCGCATCCTCGCCAACACCTGTTGTTGGTGGTGTTGCTGATGATGGCTATTCTAACAGGGGTGAGGTGGAATCTTAGTGTGGTTTTAATTTGCATTTCCTTTATTGCTAGAGATGGTGAGCATTTTTTCATGTGTTTTCTGGCCATTTGAATTTCTTCTTTTGAGAAGTTCTGTTTAGTTCGCCTGCCCATTTCTTTATTGGTTCATTAGTTTTGGAGAATTTAGTTTTTTAAGTTCCCTGTATATTCTGGTTATCAGTCCTTTGTCTGATGTATAGTTGGCAAATATTTTCTCCCACTCTGTGGGTGTTCTCTTCAGTTTAGAGACCATTTCTTTTGATGAACAGAAGCTTTTTAGTTTTATGAGGTCCCATTTTCTATGCTATCTCTTAGTTGCTGTGCTGCTGGGGTTTCATTGAGAAAGTTCTTACCTATACCTACTAACTCCAGAGTATTTCCTACTCTTTCTTGTATCAACTTAAGAGTTTGGGGTCTGATATTAAGATCCTTGATCCATTTTGAGTTAATCTTGGTATAGGGTGATATACATGGATCTAGTTTCAGTTTTTTGCAGACTGCTAACCAGTTTTCCCAGCAGTTTTTGTTGAAGAGGCTGCTATTTCTCCATCATATATTTTTAGCTCCTTTGTCAAAGATAAGTTGCTTATAGTTGAGGGAACACATTTTTTAAATCTTGTGTGTAGAACTCAACACCACCAGTTGAAGATTAAAGTAGAAAAGATACATTCAGAGCTTGTACAGACCAGCATGACAAAACTAGCATCAACATTACTGAAATGCCCATTATAAATTCTCCTTCAAAATAGTAAATTGATTAGAAAATTAGAACAAATTCAGATTAAAGTTTTTTTGTTTGTTTTTTATCTGAGGTTATCATCTGAGATAGAATAGACATGGTAAAGGAAACAATAGTGAACTAGAAATCCAGTTTCTTGAGTTTTGGTTCCAACCCAGCCATTCATACCCTAACATTAAGCAAGTCACATAACTTTTTACAGTCCTCGTTCTTCTCAACTAGGAAATGAACCAATATAATTTAGATGTCTTTTGAAGTCCCTCTATCTGTAATGTCTATATGCCAAAAATATATAGGCATCCTTAGTATTCACCTTTCAGATTGCCAAGAGCAACCTTTATTTTTACCACCCAACTACACCAAACTCTCAGTGCTGACAAAAAATAAAGGGTTTTGTACAAAGGACTGTTGTCTGGAAAATGAAACTCAAAGCCCATTCGTAAAACCATTTTTCTTCCCAATTCTTTAACCTCCTTTCACCTGTCATCAAGCTCTTTATGGAGCTAAAAGCCTAATTCTCCCAATAGCCCATAATTGGAACAAATTCCTCTGAACACCAACCTGAAAGAACTCTAAAATAACATGTAAGGATGTGACCAAAGACCATCAGAAGTTTACTTAACTAAAAATATGCACAAAAAGAATGAGCTAGCTATGTTTATAGCAACACCCTTCTCTGTTTACAGTCTTTGTCAAAGATTATTACTAGGCTGCATATCTTAGAGGTCAACTTATTTAATTATTCTTCTGCCAAACTTAAACAACTAATAGATTTACTTAGCTTCTGTCTTTAGATTCAAGAATCTATATCCATTATCTGTCGTGACAAAAGACCTAATATAAGAGCAAACCTTTGACTTTTCTCCAAACTCTGTATCCCAGCCTCATTTTACCTGACTTTCCTTCTCTCACATCTTAGCTGATGATTTCTCCACTTTCCAGTAATCTCCTAGTAGATCCAGTGGATCTAGTGGAATCCTGGTGCTCACCACCCAATCTCCCAAGTCATTTTGAGGAGCTACAACACTGTACGTATTCTGTTTCTTTAATAATGGGGTCCCTGCCCTCAAGTTCCAAAGACCTCAAGTTGCCATTGTAATTTATTTCATAGGGTGAACATTTTGTTTGATTCCCCTTTATGAATACCCACACCAATAGACTACTAATGTTCCAATGAAGTATGGACAAATTCTGCCTTGATCTTATCAGTCTCAGGGCCTAAAACTCTGCCCCTAAACACTACCAGTTTAGTCCCTGAGGATCTTGTTATCATTGACAGAACTTCTAAATGTCACCTGCTTCCTACCTGTCTAGCATTGTAAGCACCAATTGCAACATCTCGTATTTGGGCTCAGACCAACTGTTAGAATACATTTTTCATCTGAGACCCCTGGTGGTAGTCATTGCTGGATTGAAAATTGCCATGCCTGTGAATTCCCTGTTCTCTGTTTGAACTTTCATCCTCAGAAGAAAGAAAAACAACTAGATCTCATGTTAGGTGTCAGCCCCTTTTCCCTTGCTACCCTATCTTCCAGTAAGTGTGTTACCCATCCCCATGCCTTGTTCCTTCAACTTTTGTTTTAAGATGGGATTATTTCCTAACTAAAATCAAGATGTAAAGAAAATACATTTCTACAGCAATAGTCTAAAAAATTCCTATGCAAGACCACAAGTTTTTAAATGGATCTTGGAAGCTGTACCAATGGTGACTTTATTATATTTACTATAATGGAACATAAGTCGGAAGGGGTAGGACAGGAGGTTGAATGAGATATAGGACTCTATTGGGTCATGATTTCTTGTTAAGCAAAAACCCCATAATCAGGCAGCTCCTCAGGATCTGAATGCTCCAGATGATCTATAGAGCAGCCTCTAAATATTTGCTGAGAGCAA